AAAAAAATAAAAAAAATAAAATAATAATAAATCACTGATTTTTTTAGCCACCCTGGCAGGGGCACTAATACTGATATGCACTGACAATACCAGTGTCATGTGTAATTTCCATGCTCCAGCAGACTTGATTAATGGACTCTGCTCCAACATACTGTAATTATGGAGCATCAGAGCAGCCTCCCTAAATGTGTATAGGAGCCCAATGAGTTTTAGTGAGCTGACAAGGGCCACACACTTGAAACCTTTCAGAAGATATCATTTTAACAAATTATAGATTAAAACATACAAATCTTGATAAAAATCAAACATCTACTATAATATATTTTAATCTCACTTCAAAAAGTAATTGTTGTCCTGATTTATGTTTTTTGGCTAGTATATATAGAGGCAATTGCATAATAGCTCAAAATAGTCTTACCCTTGTACATTGTGGGGGGGGAGGATGAGTGTGTGTAGAGGTGGGTAGGGGACGGAGGGAGTGTGGGGTTGGGTTTGTGCATGTGTTTGGGGGCTGTCTACATATTAGGTCTTGGGAGCCAGCTGGGAATTGAGTGAGCTCTTCCTTCCCTCCTCCAGGTGTGGTCACCCATGGCTGACCCCGTAGTGCTCCACATAGGGCTGAAGCGCACCCACTCCTGCCTAGGGCAGCCTGCACCATATTCCTGCCTGCCCCCACCCCATGCCTGCCCCACACTGCTAATGGCACAGCCCAAGCCAGCTTGCACAGCACTGCTGCAAATGCCCAGGTACTGCTTGGATCTCTCCTACCTTCAGTGGTTCCTCCTCCGCCACCTGCCCCTGCCCCTGCTATGCCACTCCCGGCAGCAGGTATCATGGGGAAGCAGCTATGGCCATGGGTGCACGAGCTGGTCACCACATGCCCAGCCAGACTGGGAGGAAGCTGCAGATGGGCAGCTCCTGCCCTAGAGTGCAGGACTTCAGCTCCAGGCCGCTTTCCACCCACTGCACCCACCCAGTCCGATGGGCAGTCACCTGTGGGTGGAAGGCAGCCCCAACAGAAAGCTGTGTGCACTGATTACAGTAGTGCTGTCAGCAGGCATGGGCTGCCCCAGACGGGAGCACAGCACAGGCTTGGCCTCATGCGGAGCACTGAGGGCAGCAGCGGGCCAGATACAATCAATTGATAGGCTGGATCTGGCCCACAAGCCATATTTTGCCTATCCCTGTGCTTCCCATTTCTGTACACAGAAAGCTTAATACTACCAGGCCAGACTATATTCAAATTCCTCCTAAAACTTCATTTTCTTCTAGATACTAAGCTACTCTTTTTGTGACCTAAGTAGTTACTCTGTGCTTTACAAGTACTTTTGTTTATGGAGGTATCCAACTTCAACCAGCCCACTCCACAGAGAAGTTTAAATGTCTCTTCCAAGCATCTTAAAATGAAGGTTAGCAGTTACACCTGCCAATCCATAACACACAAATGAAAGCCACTCTCAACACAACAAAAATATCAAGGGAAAAAAATTACTGAGAAACCAGTCATTATAATCTAATTTTCATTCCTATTAAAAACATTTAAAAGAACAATTACATAAACAACACAAAGAATAAGAGAGGACAAAACCAACTATTAATTAGTATATACTACAGACATAATTAATCACAAAATTATTCCTACAACCTTCGTTACATTTTTCTCCTTTTCTCTCACAGAAGAATTCTCACTTGTGACACATTTACAAGTATACTGTTCAACCAGATCTTATTTATAAATGTTTAATATATAAATTAATTTTAAAGTAAATTACAGAAATTAATGTATAAATAACAAATAATTTACAGAACTTCACTAACTGCTTGACTACATACAAAATGAACTCGGTTTAAATACAATGCTTCTTGATCTACTTCTACATTTAGCACTACAAAAACTATGTATCACTGGTTAATAACTAAGACTTAACAAGAAAAAATACATACTATGAACTGGAAGCTAGAAGTTTACTAAGTACTTTGCTACCCAAAAGACTTGCAGGAAGCCCAGGCTTCTCTTTTTTCAAAGAAAAACCTTATATTCTGC